TTCTAAATATTCAAAGTCATCAAATGGTCTTTTCCCTTTACTTTTCTTTTTTATTTCATTGATTTCATTTGATATTTTCCATTTTAAAAACTCCTTATATCACATTATTCAAGTGGACCAAAGTATTTCTTTCCATTTGTAAAATGTTTTGAGTATGACCGTTTTTGTTATCACAGCTTTATTTATGTAGTTTTTTACTTTATTATATATTGATCGAGGAATTAATCCTTTGACTAGATCATTATATGCAAACCGGTCGACGGGAAGGGTATCTCTTATTTGTCTTCCAATATCTACTTGGAGAAAGTGACTATTGTGTATTTTCTTTAACATATTTGGATTATTTTCTTTTTTGTTTCTTGTGTGAATACTTTTTTAAGAATATAACAAAAAGTATTTTTTAAGGTGGTTGGGGTATCCTTGCACATGAATACATGTGTATTGGTTTCATTATATATATTACAAAAGAGACATTTCTTATCCTTATATATCTCAAGTTTTCTTGTATGTAATACTTTCATTGTTGGGAGTTCCTCATTTAGCAGTTTTATTAAGAAAGAGTGAAGTGAGTTATCTCTATTTGAAGTTTTGTTGTCAGTAATTTTAGATTGTTGCCACACTTCTTGTAACCATTTCCAATTTATTTCTTTCCTTATATTTTTGTTTAGTCATTTATATATTCGGTGTTGTGTAAACCAAGAAATGGTTGATTCAATTTTTCATTTTGTTTTGATAAGTTCCTTAATTGACATGTCCATATTGTTACCATTTCATTTGTGTCTAAATTGTTGCTTTCGTAAATATTTAGGATTTATTGAAAAGATAGATCCTGAATTTGATCCGAGTTTTGATAATTCGTCTGCTCTTTCATTGTTGTAATCCCCTTGGTGTGCTTTGATTTTTTCTAGTTCTAAATCAATTTCTTTTGTATAGATTAATTCTTTAATTGTTTGCAGTATTAATGGATTACTATAATTACTCCAGTGTTTTCTTTTACGCTCATTGGTATAACCTTTAATTGCTTTAATTGAGAATTCACTATCTGTAATTATTTTTATCAAAGTTTTATTAGGAATTACCCATAGGACTGAAAGTATAGCTTATAGTTCAGCTCTTGTTGATGAAGGTGGATCTTCAACTTTCCCTTTCCATTCAATTCTTCCCAGGTTGAGATTTTTCACAAGACATATTGCTCCAAAGCCCATTTGTTGTCTTTTTAGTTCTGTGTGATTTAAGTTATTTGAGGTCACATCTGTGATAAGAGATCTATCTGTGTATGTTGTTATTTGTTTGTTTCTTTGTAGTTTTCTAGTACATTCTTCTAACATTTCTAAAGTTTGTTTATCGGTATCAATGATTTTTTGTAAAAAAGTATGATTATCTATATTATGTTTAAATTGTTTTTTAATAATTGACTTTGGATTATTTTCATAGTAGTGTTGTAGAGAGCTAGGAAATATTACAATTCTGGTTTTGATTCTTTTATCTTCTGGATTTCCAATTGAGACCCGTGAGTTTCTAGTTGGTAAATAACTAACTTTTGTAATATCTGCTGTAATTGCACAGTATTTGATATTTGATCCTTTAGTTTTTGTATCTAGTGTAGAGAGTGATTCTTGTAACAGACATCCTTCACATGCTTTAAGTGATGAAAATGTCTCCTGTTCTGTTGTTTCTTGAATCATATGCCTTTTCACTACAGTTTGGTCACGTGATTTGAGCTCACGAGTTATTTTTTTCATGATAGGTCCTTGCGAATGGTCTGTAGTTATTATTTTACCTTTTAAGTTTGAAAATTTGTCTATTAAGGTTAGTCTGTTAATAGGATTTGCATTTGATGAGTTCTTTATATACTCCCATTTTTGTTCTATTTTGTTACTGAGGTCTATATACCAGGTTGTATTATGTTTTGGGATTTCATATTAATGGATCTGTTTTAATTCCAATATTTTTGTCATATCTGCATTTAGTAATTGTTCAATATACATTACTCCATATCTTTTTAAACTGTTTTGATATTTGTGATACCATATTTCTGAATTCATAAATGATTCAATATCTAAGTTTCCTCCCCTAATCAGAACGGGAAATTCTAGTTTATTGTTAATTTGTATTTCAATATTATTTACTGCCAATAATTTCATGATCTCCCCAGTTAGATTAAGGTTTCTCACTTTGAATTTTAATATTATTTCTTTTTCTCATATTGGATGTGTGGTTCACATATAATCTTGTAACTTTTGAATTCGTACTTTAGTTATCCAACTGGTTAGGTCCTTTTTATTTATTCTATTTATTATTTCTGTTGCATATACTTGTAGTTGTCTATCGTGTAGGTTGAATAATTTGTAACCTAATGGTGAATATAGTATGCTAGTAGGTAATTTAACTGAATGTCCACAAGAGTGACGGAAACAAGATCGTATTTTAGCATTAAGTTTTTCAAGGTCTTTTTTTGGATGTACCAAATCTTGCATTAGGTATTCTATTTGAGGGAATAGAATATGATTCAGGATGTAGTGACTTTGTTTATCAGTAAGCTGCTTTCTATTCATTATGGATGTGGTTCTAAAAACTTTTTCTTTTATTAGGCTTTTTTGATATGTTTTTTTCCTATTTCCTTGTATCCAAATTCCTAGATATCGAACTGTTTCAGTGGATTTCTTTGGGATTATTTGATTTTTCATGAAATCGATTCCATTCTTATAGTCTTCTTTGTGTCCATTTATGAGGATTAGTTCTGATTTGGATGTGTTCACACTTATTTTATTGAGGTCAAAAAACTCTTAGACTATTTCTAAAACTTCTTGCATTTGTTATTTGTTTTATGTAATCCATACTGTATTATCCATATATACCAGAGATGATATGTTTCGTGTTTCATATACTTGTTCTTGTAGGATTATATCCATTCTCCATTTGAGTTCCATATTATAACCTTTATTTATAAATTCAACTTCAGCTAATAAAGAGTCATAAAAAATATACCATAAGAGCGGTAAGATTGAGTCTCCTTGGTCTACCCCTTTGAGTAGAATCAATATTTTATAAATAAATATATATTTTAAATATATTGTAAAAACTTGTATTATATAAAGTTTCTATTTTAAATTGCATTATTCTATAAATGTATTATCTTGTATGATATAATTATCAATAAAATCTATTTTAAATTTTAAAAACTTGTTCTATAAAAACTTGTATTATATAAATTCAATAAAGTTTCATATTATATATATATATAATACAATATTTCATTTTTTATTTTACTTCAATAATTCTTTCTTTTTATTATTAATTATTAGTTTCATAAAATTTAATATGTAGGAATTTAATTAATAGACAATTAATATATTGAGAAATTACATATAATAATTAATGTTTATAATATATTATTACATATGCGAAAATATTTGATAATATTACTTTTCATTTTTAAATTTTATATAATTACATGTCCTAAGAATTTATGATAATCAGGATTTAATATCATGATATATTCTAAAAGGAAGGAAGGGAGGAGGAATTGACATCTAATGAAAGATAATACTAGTAATTTCAATATGTATCAAATTAATAAATAAAATATGATGAAATATTTAGAAAATATTTGAAATATTATTAAAATTCGAGAAAAAGAATGGCTAAAAAATATATATAAAAAATCAAAATTCTTCTAACTTTACCATAAAAATTTTGAAAATATTTATAAATAAATAAATATTAAAATAAATTTTTATTAAAAATTTTCAAAATATCACAAAAAATTTTAATTAGTTTTTATCAAAAAAAAACAAAAAAAAAAATAAAAGAAAAATTTCTGATCTTTTATTTGGAAGAGTAAAAAAAAAAAGTGTGATATTGGTAACAGCATCTACTCTGGCAACAGCATCTACTCCTGCAGTAGTAGAAGCATCAGCATCATTTATAAAAGAAAGGGAAGAAAGTGAAATGGAGGATGTATTAATAGGACCATTTGATGAAGAATCATAGGAATTACTACTAACTTGCGTAACTAAAAGAAGAAGGATTGAAGAAGGAAGGGAAGAACAGTATTCCAATGGTAATTTTCAAAAAATTTCAAAAAATTTTAATTAAAAAATTTTATAATATATAATTTATTTTATTAGAAGAAGAACCTCTGTCAACAAGAAAAAAAAAGCAAGATTGTGTATATACGTGTTGCCCAAATCCCAAATCATTTGGGATTTGGGATGCCAAAATCCCAAATTACTAGTATTTGGGAT